GTGATAATATCGTATCGTGGGATGTATGGTGATTCCCACCTCTACAGACTAATGCTCTCAGCCTTCGTCTGCATTAACCTCCTAAGACCTGAACTCTTCCACGGCATTCATTTTTAATTTCTCTTTGATATTCGGGCTGATTGGGGCCCAATGAATGTAAAAACAAAGAATTACCAGATTTTTTTTTTTACCTGATTTTTCTTTTTATGAAAAATCAGAGACACATATGAGGATATTCATTTAAAATTTTGATAGAACAATAGCAGCATAAAGTCCTCGTAAGTGGATATCAGGCTCTTGTAGAGCAAAATTGAGTATTTTGGTCTAAATGTGATGTCCACACACGTGGACGCAGGTCCTAGGAGGTTAAAGACAAACTGAAGTTTTGTGCAGATTTATGCAGAAATCACCACACAAGTCCGTCACAGAGGCTCCTAATTATTCCCAAGCTAAGCCCGACGCTGTAACACAGAACTAAAAGCAGCCCTCCTGTACATGTCTGAGTCGATCTGCGGGACTGTTTTTATAATAAGCAAAGAGTTTGTCTTAGTAATAAATACCAAGTCAGTACGTCTTCTTGGCTTTAATCTTTAGTCACATTTTACTTTTCAAAGTTAAGAATGCAATGTTTAAATCAAGCCTGATGTTTCCTTAAATGTGCAACAATAATTCAGAGGAAGAGCCAAGCTGATGTCCATGATGGACACCACCTCTCGCTCCTCCGACCACAGCCGTTACAGCCACGGTGTAGGATGAGCTGCAGGAGTCAGACTGAACAATACGCATCAATAATTTTCTTTCTGACCCTTTTTGCTGCTTTCACGAGTGCATTTCTCTGGTTTAAGGTTTAAGATGTCGAATAGTAAATGCACTGGTTCTGATACAGCGCTTTTCTACTCCAACCACTTTATACAACTTGCCTCATTCAGCCGTTCACATGAGCACTTCTTTCCTACACCCACGTGCTTTTTATCCAACAGTCATACTAACTGTGACAAACTCAGGGTTAGTATCTGCCCAACACTCGACTGTCAATTGAATGGAAATACAAATACATGAAGGGACTGTATGTAAAACCACGTTTTATTTTAAACTAGAGATTTGTATTGCTGTGAGTATCAGACAGCGAGTGAGACGGAGCACTTTGCTGCACGCCGTCTTTCATCTCTGAGGTTTGATGACAAAATAATAATCACGTGTTCCTCAGCAACACGTTACATGTTACACTGTATCATTATTAACTCAGCAAGAACTAAGTCAACATGAAAAAGCAGTTTGTGAAAGACCAGATGCAAAGATCACCAAGAGGATATATTAACTCTGAACATCTAATATCTGCTGCAAATGAAAATAAGCGCTGGCTTCTCAGGAGCCTCGTCAATCAGACTTTCGTGCCTTAAAATCCACATAAGCATCCCGAGAGAGCGGCTCACACTTACCACTGTTCGCTGTTTGTTGGGCAGGAAGACCCTGACAATGGGTTTCTGGGGGGAGCGAGGGTTGGCTCGGCTTGTGTCAGTAGGGGTCTGCAGGACAGCCAAAGTGTTTGGGGCAGAGTGGAAAGCCTGAGGCCCCGCACCAACCCCACAACCTCCTATCTTGACTTCCAGAAGGGCTGGTATAGCAGACTGAGAGCAGGAGAAGTCTGCGCTGTTACCGATGGCCTCCAGCAGCTGCTGCTCCCTCTGCTGCAGAGCGTCCAGTTTACTGGTGTACTCCTCATAGGCCTGCCAAAGAAGAACCGTGAGGAACGAACTCGACAGCTTCAACATTTACGAGGGTCACAGCAGTTTCTGTTCACACAAACCGAAACGATCTTACCTCTAGATAAATGGAGGGAGGGTTGTGTTCTCCGCCAAACTTGTCCAGGAGAGCCTCCAGATGTTCTTGTGTTAACTTTATCATCTGTTTGATGTTCCAGATCTGCAAGGAAACACGGTGAAACGTAAATACCTGCACGACTAAAAAACATTATTATACCAGCTTTACCAGGATCAGATAACATGGACACCCCTGGAGATGTACAGATGCAATCAGTAAAAAACAATAAAAATAATAAAGTATTTAATTGGTTCTTTCTTTCTACTTTTAGAAAGCTGGGGACACTGGGGCTGTAGCTCCTTTACTAACAGGTTGGTGTTCGATCGCTGGGTGTTTGGTGGAGACACCTGTGGCGCATTTTTGTCACAGGGTAGGAAAGAACGACACAAGAGCCAACCCTCCATCACCGGGCTTATCACATGCAGAGAGATGAAACGAGCTAAACCAAATAATTTATGCATCATTTATAGCGCTCAGGGGTTAAAGGTGAGCCAGAACCAGCATTAGGTTCATTACTCAAAAAAAGTAATGTTTACACATTACTCATTACTTTTCTTTAAACCAAATGTTACTTAGTTTCTACCAGAGTACACCTGTTACACTACTTTTGTCTTTCTCTGTAAAATGATCTGAAATATTGCATAATTACCAGCTCGCAATATGAATCTGAGACTACAGACTCACACCAACAAAAATCCTTATGCTAACACACACACAGACACGCACACACACACACACACACACACACCAGAGCGACCGTTACAGCGATTCTCCGTCACAAACATGAACAGGTTGACATGGATGCTGCGCTGCTGCCTTTGTTACCTGATGAAGTTCAGCATGATGTAGCCGCTTCTGTCCTGGGTGCAGTTTTACTGTTGCAATAATTGCTCTAAAGCACTAAAGTAGTGACCGTATCTACACTTACTTTGACATCGGGCCTGTAGCGGGACGAAAAGCAGCAAGCTCGATGTTTTTTGTTTTTCTACCCACCCAGTGTGCAGATAAACGAGAATTTTGTTAACACAAGTAGCAACACAATTGTAACTACAATTACTGAAACAGTACTCTGATTACTGTAATATCTACAAGTTGTTCTTTGAGGCACTTCAGCGAGTGTTGGAGCGGAGCGAGGATGAAGACAGTAACGTGTAAAACACACAGTAAATACACAAAGTGCTTCAGTGTGTCAGCTAATGCTACTGTATTACTCGCATAGAGAGAAGTGAGAGCTAATTCCCCCAAAACAGACAGCAGAGGAAAGGAAAAGAGAGCTTAGAGTTAAAGGAAGGACAGCTCAGCCCTACGTTTTTCTCACTGTTATCCCGACTGTACTCATTATTCTGTGGACGCAAAATCATCATCTACAATGCAGGCGACAGGAAGCAGAAATTAGCTTTCGCTGAAAGGTAGATGGTCTATGCCAGGGGTGAGCGATTCCAGGCCTTGCGGGCCGGTGTCCTGCAGGATCTCACCCTGGGTCAGCACACCTGAATCACATGATTAGTTCATTACCAGGCCTCTGGAGAACTACAAGACATGTTAAGGAAGTAATTTAGCCATTTAAATCAGCTGTGTTGGATCAAGGACACATCTGAAACCTGCAGGACACCGGCCCTCGAGGCCTGGAGTTGGACACCCCTGGTCTATGCCTTAGCGTTGGGTGAGGAGGTCAGTAAGTGAAAGAAAATGTTTAACGATGTCAAGTGCTACTAGAGCTGCCACAAACGATTATTTTGATAGTCGACTAGTCACCGATTAGCTTTGCCATTAGTCGACTAATCAGATCATCATCCATTGGACGTAAAACGTACAGCTTATTGCACCAGCAGCATCTGCTCTTATATAACTATCATTA